CATCGTCAGTTATCATAATATTATCATCTATGAAAAGTAAAATATAATATATTTTGTATTACTTAGATTTAAATTGAAGAATTTCAAATAATATGAAAATATTCTACGTTTTTTTCAACTAGAGATGGAACTGTTATGACTTATAACATCGAGAAAAACTTTTCCGAATGCGGGTACTGTGCTATGTTATAGCTCGATTTCTAAACGAAATATGATACACGTGGGCTAAATCTTTCAGTCGTATAGAGCTGAACAGAATACATTAGTTAATTGTACTAGATTTTTATCTAGTAGTATTGATTGGCTTACTGTCACTTCGCCAATTGGACACTCGCCATTGGCGAAAGTTCAGGCGCGATTTGGAGTAAGTCCAGCGGATTTTCGCCAACTATAATAACACAAGATTAGTTTAAATTGCGCGTGACAAATTAACCTAGTATTATCCGGATAGGCATATTACAGTCTAAACCCCTCAATATAGTTACCTGGAGCTATTTTTATACATATGTAATCACATAATGACGCTGGCGGAAGTGCTAGTCATTGAAAAGTCTCACAGTCAAAAGAAACTTTAATCTAATATGTAAGAGAGATATTTTCTCGATTGTTACGTTTACATTTCGTTCGTTCTAGTTTAAAAAAGAAAATAACTTATACCATGTCGATCTGCTAGTTTTAAAACAATTCCGGAAATGACGAAACCAAGAAATGTTCGATATAAATTTATTTTTCTATCTGCTGATTGTTCAATAAATTTTTTTAATGCATCTGAAGATTTTGAATTTTTGTCATCATCAGTATTTTTAAATTCAAGAAATGGATGTACATTTTCAACACATTCAATAAGACCTTCTGTTTCGTCAACTGGAAGAACCTAAAATTTAAAAAAAACACATATACATCCAATCTATTACTAATTAATCTATTGTTTTTACTTCATAAGTAACAATTTCGACGTTAATATATTCTTCTTTAAATATCGTATTCATTTCTTTCATTGCAGCAAGACATAGAGCATCTTGTAATAATTCATCACCATGTTTATAAATACATCTAGAAATTTTAATGATAGATTAAGTTTTATAAATCAAATAATTTCATACGTTTTTCTTTTGCCACATTGATCGATAACAGTAAATTTCATTGGTTTCCCTTTTGATGTTATAAATGAACCATCACAAAGTTCATGAACAATAAAATCTGGTGATGTTGGTAACATAAATGGTACAGGTATCTCTGTTAAATCAGGTGTTTTAGTTTTATGTGCTTTTGCTAGTTCAGATAATTTTTTAATTGCATTATGAGCTGTTCGAACTAATTCACAATTATTTAATACATATTCACATACATTTACACGTTTATGATAATGACATGACCAATATAAACGACTTCGATCAGCATCTGGAAGTGTTTCATAAGCTCGAATTAATGAACGATCAGAATGTTCAAGTAAACCCCATAAAAAGAATGGATCGTGAACATTAACAATATTCAATGATTCTTCATTATCGTTATCGTCATTCTGATTATTATTTGTCATATTAGAAAATTTATCTGAATTAAAAAAAAAGTGAATAATCAATCCGTTATAAAATTTCTGTAGTTAAATTACAACGTATCACAGCAAGTTTATTATTTAGTTCAAGAAATATTCATAATGACAGTTACAAGCTATATATAATATTCCTTTATTTAATTCGTCTTCAAATTCTCCAGTCACTAACCCAGATATATCTTACTTAATAGTCAATTCAACATGACATTAATGTGTTCGAATACCTAGATCATCGAAATAACTTAGTACGGAGTTAATGTTGGTTGTGCTGCAAAATAATATACACAAGTAACGCTCGTCCGAGGACTCGCTTAGCTCTTTCTCGTAGAAATGCATCCTCCCCACATTTACTGAAAAAATAATTAAAAACCGTGAAAAATAGGTTTTCAATGTTTTTTTGACCCTGCGGACAGACAATTTATGTTTACTAGACTCTTCCCTACGAGAAAGGGAATCAAAAGATCTTTTATAATTCAGCTCATATGTACCGATAATTGGAGTTCTTGTATCAAGTTGAATTTGAACTGATTATTTTTTACCTTATTGCTTAGCTTCAGTTTGCTTCCTACAGATCATAGACGGATTTGAATATGAAATTTGTAAATTACAATGAATATATTTCATGAAAAAGTCTTATCAAAGAGACCGGGCAACCAGTATAAATGAAAAGTCAGTAGGTACTGTTTAAATTGATGTGATTCATCTGATACGAACCAATAGTAAACATCTATCAAAATAATAAACGAAAGATTTCACTAGTAGATAAAATGATTTTGTTAATAAAAAGAAGAAATTTACTGATTTTATTCATAATTTGAAAAGTTTTTTCTTATATAAAAATCATCTTTTATTGAACCTCACTAAACTTTATGTGTTAAATAGATTAAGTTATATTATTTATCGATTTCTTATTAATTGTGTCATTCAACCCTTTAACTACATTGTTTTGAATATGTACATCAAAAACAAATGCATTACTTGTTTGATAATTCGATTGTCAGTTAAATAACTTAATATATCCGAAAAAAGGGTTATTTTTTTCATTAATATTCTTATCATATTTTGTTTTATTATAATGCAAAATCAATAGAATTTATTATGCTTGTTAAATGAATATGTTTTATCTTTGAATTCATTCGAATTTTTATATCAACATAGTTTTCAAATATTGAATAACGATGTCTTTTTTTACTATACGACTATAATTAATAATAAAATGAACAATGAAATAAACATTTCTAGTAGAATAATAGTTACACCATATGTTCATAACTTTGTCCAACACGTGTTCGTTCAATAGGTGGTAATGTTTCATAACGAAAATCTTTATGATTGTTATCAAAATAACCATGCGATGAATTTGCTATTGACAGTTTTGTATCATTTAAATTTGTTATTCCTCCTGCACCTAATAAAAATTCATCGTCTGGGGTTAATTGATCAAATTCATTTGCATAAAGTTCTTCTAGTGTCGGCCGACGACATCCTAATAAATAACCAACAAGTCCACAAACAGCGAATGTCAAAAAAATAAGTGCAAAACCAATGAGTACCAATGACCAAAATGGAAAGAAACCTAATAATCAAAACGAAATTATATGAATAGTGTTTTTTTTTGAAATTAACTACAACCTTGAAGTAAGTAATCAGGATTAACACGATTGAACATATCTGTTCGTCGACCACCGGACATTTCATAATGTGTTCGAGCTCCATAACCAAGATCATGTTGTTCACGTAATTGATCGGGTGTTAAAAACTGACCATAACAAAGAGAGATAATGTTTGTAAAAAATAATCCTAAATAAAAATATTATGAAATAAAAAAACGGACAAAGATGTCAAATGAATAGAACGCACCTACTATGACCTTGATATAAGCCATGTTCTGTTAAAAGATGATCAACGAATTGTAACTGAACAGAAAAAGAAGACGAAGAAGGAGAAGGAGAAGGAGAAAAAATATAGAAAAGCGGAAAGGGTCAACGACGAATGTACTCGTGTAAACGAGCACTAGTGACAGGAAAGTAAAATTGAAAGAAAGAGAAAAGTGAAGAACGTATATATATATATATGAACACAAGAGAAAAAAAGTCGTCGAAAGAGAAAAAATATGTCGCTTATTGAAGGACAGAAATACAACTATTGTTTTGCTTTCGTTTATGTGTGCTTGTTCGTGTATATAATGAATCAATCAGAATATATATCCGATGATGATGATGATGTGATCAATACTTACGGTGGGCGTGAAATTATTCTATAGATTGTTTTGTTAACTCATTCAGTATATCTTACCAGTTCTTTTTCTTTTATCTTTCTCTTGTTTGGGATCATTAGATCAGATGTTTTATTTCACAGCGAACTGAATCATTATTCAAGTTTGTTCTCTTTTTCATACGTACTATGTCGTTACACACAGATAATCAAATAAAAGTTAAATATTTTTGTTTTTTACATAAATTTTCTTTCATAATTCATTATCTTTTAAATCTTATAATAGTTTTCATATACAAATAAATCAAATGTTATTAGTGAATTGTTTCATCTTCATCAATTCTATCTCTTTTTTTCCCATCATATATACTCATAAAGCAGGTATCCATGGCATCAAAATCAAAATCGTCTTTACACACACACACACACACGCACTCACACACACAAATAAAAAATACAGCACTCTCACTTATACACTCTAATACATCTGCCTAAAAATACGCACATATGCGCATACGAAAAAAAAGATGATAATAATAATAATAATAATGTTGACAAGAAAAAAAAGAAAAAAAAACACAAACAATGTGTAACTGTAAAAAAAACGAAAGAAATGTCTTATTGCTTCTCTAATAATGATGATATAATCGAAAGACAAACACATAAATAAAGTTGAGAAAGAAAGAAAAAAAGAAGATAAAGAAACGACCGGAAGGAAAAGAAAAAATGAGGAAGATTCTTTTTTGTACATTTAAACAGAGATGTACATATGTATATATGATCTCATCGTAGAATATTATGTTGTTCATATTCCTGTTTAACATTATCAACTACATGGGATGTTATTGTAGTCGGTAATAATATTCGTCCATGCCAATCAGTATCATAATAGTTATTCGTATGATTTGATTGTCGATTAACTGTTGGTGGTGTATTGAGATCACATAAGAAGCTAATATCACCATTGGGATCATTTGTTGGTATATTTGTTGTTGATGAAGGTGTCATTATTGCTTTTGAACGTTTTATAAATCTTAATCGATCATTTGATGTATCGTTAAAATATTGTAGAATTTGTCCATGATGATAATCATGTAGATCATTAGTTATTGTATGTGCAACTGACGTTGCATTATGATGATTTAAATTCGGATCAGCTATAGAATTTGAATGAAGAAGATGAATATGGGATAGATCATTTGATAAATAATCATCATGTTCAGTAAGTGAAACATTGTGAATATCATGGTTAACTGTTCGTGAAAGAATCATAACGGAATTTGGTACAGGTGTAGCTAAAGAAGGATCCGGATATTGATTACTATCTTGAGACTGTGATGTATTATCTTCCATATCGGTATCAAGTGAAGAACCATTAGAATCAAGATCGTTTTCTTTGGAAACTAAAAATATATATATTTTCAAATATATATTATATAAATAATAAAACATGAGAACGTGAAATATTCTTAGAATGCTGATGATCATATGTTAACAATAACAATACGATTTCGTTTATTTATTTTTTTTCGTTCGACAGACACATAAGCATGCAAAGGAAAAACAATAGTTACAGCGTGCAATGTATATTAATAAAAAAACCCATTACAGATTTTATTTATGTTAGTATATGTGTGTGTTATTTATTGTAATGAATATATATATAGTCATTCTTACTTGAATTACTTGGCGATGATGTATTAGTAGTAATCATATGTATTGTATTAGTTGTAGTGGATATCATCGAATCTTGACAATCGTCACGATATCTATCTGAACTTATAGAACTACATTTGTTGTTTCATTCTCTCTGTGATATATGTATATATATAGATTTTTAATATCGTATTCTTTTTGTTATTATTGTTGAGAATATCGAATAAATTTCTTGTTAAACTTACTTAAAAGCATTTCGTTAATAAGATCATCGACTTGTTTCGTATCTTGATTATAACGTGCAACAAGATCAACCATTAAACGAGCTATATTTTGTAAAGGTGGTAATAATAATAATAATTCTCCAAAACGTCCACGCATTAATGGTTTTTGTTGATTTATATAAGTTTCGAGATTAACTTGTATACGTTTACGTAATTCTTTTACACGCATTGGATCTGATAAAGATTTATTATCTAAGATGAATAAAACAGAAGAAAAGAATAAGATAATAAGAAGTTTATCTTCATATAAAATACAAACCATTATCAAAGAATACAATTGCTTTTAAGCACGCATATTCTTTTTCATCTAATTGCATTTCTTTTAATGGTTTAACAATTTCATCAAGAATTCTACCAGCTGCACGTGTTAAACCAGGATCAGCTGTTATTCGTGGTATAACATAATGATTACCGAGCAGTAAATAATCATCACAATTTAATGAACGACAAGCAACACCTAGAACAAGATTTTCACCAGTATGACCACGTAAAAGAGCGATCTAAATAAATAATATTTTTTAAAAAAATGTGATGGTTTTTTTCTTCTTCTCCTCCTCTTCCGCCTTACTTTATCATTATCAGATAAATCAATGAAACCTTTTAAATCTTTTGCCCATTCAATAAAACTACGAAGTTGATAATTCATTGATATACCAATTGTTTCTAAAGTAGCTTGAACACGTTCTGTATTCGATGGATGTCTATCAAGTTTAATTTGTCGACCGATATACTAAAAATAAGAATTTTATTAAATATTTTTACAGAAAAACTAAATAAATTCTTTGATATATTTTCATACTTCTTTAGCTGTTTGTTCAGCTCTTAAAAGTGCCATAATACTAAGATCATCATCATCTTCATCAAAATCATGATCAATACGTCCAATAGATTTTATTGCTGTCATTCTATAAGTATGATTATTCGAGCGTTGTCTTCCAAGACGATCTCTTTCTTTTTGTACAGCTTTAAGAATTGAAAAAATTAAAAATAAAATAGATTATATTTACAATTAAATTTCATACCATCTTTTTTCATGCCCATTCTAATACATTTTCTATAGAAATATGAATAGATTTTTTAACGAGAATATTTAGATATTAGAAACATACTTCCATCGACAATGACGACATTGATTGCGTTTATCTTTGTCAATTGTACAATTATTTTGATGTCGACATTCATAAACTGGATTTTTGCGAACACTCCGTCGAAAGAATCCTTTACAACCATCACAGGATATAGCTCCATAGTGTTTACCTTTATAATAGAAGAAGAAAAAAAATCATTCTCATTAAACTAAATAAATTCTTATTTACCAGTAGCTCGATCACCACAAACAACACAATCTAGTAGTTCATTATTATTTCCAAATGTATTATTAGTTGTTGAATTATTACCTAGAGCCATTGTCGTTGAAATTCTTTCAACACCATCATCAACACCAAGACAATCGTCATTACTTTCACGTTTAATAATTGTTACTGTTTCACCAAATTCACTCGTGATTATAGCACGTTGCACTAAACAAAACAAAAAAAAAGACAAAAATAAATATGTTAAAAATATGTATATGATTATTTTTATTATGATTATTCAATGCCATTACTAGATCATGCACATAATGCGTGATACATACTGGTATGTCCTTCTGATTGAGTGAATATGTTGAAACAAACAGTCAGTAAAAGAAAGAAAAGAACGAAAAAAAGATAAGACAAACTAACGAAGAATATACTAGCTGTTTAGAAAGCAGCATATAGCAAAAGATTTTTTTAATATCTGACATGCGCTAAATGCGTGATTTATTGAACAAAGACACGTTTGTTTGTCGATTTATTTAAATGAAAAAAAAAAGAAGAAGAAATCATCAAGATGTACAATGTTTGCCATTATTATCGTTTGTTCCTTCTTTTTCTTTCTTTTATTCGCTTTCATCATACAGTTTTCATTGGGCTTTCTTTTTTTTTCTCTTTTTCTTTTTTTTAGGCACCCATCGACACTGTCTTCGTCTATAAAAGCCTAAAAATATCTTCTCTCATTTATGTATATTATTTACGGCGACATCACTATTATACTACATTCTTTCCTTTTTTTTCTACAAGTAGGAAGCCAATATACGTATTTATATATATATATATTATTTTATGTCTCAAGTGATAGACAAAACTGTCAAAAAATGACAGAAAAAAAGAGGATTTTACACATCACGACCTTCATAATAGGTTTGGTCAACGTGATATGATAATACAAAAACAAATCGCTTGCTATTAATATCACGAATATTAGTCGAGCCATAAAAAACAAAAGAAAAAAAGAAGACTGCTCACCCGATGATGCCATTAGTAATTATATTAATTAATAAGAATCATTATCAAAAGTCTAAATAGGAAAAATAATATGTATTTCAAAAAATATAGCATTTTTCTTAATATGACTATATATGTATACATGAATAAATTGACCTCAGAATATTTCGATTTTGTTTTCAGTTTATGACAAAACAATATAATTATTGGAATTTATTCTATCGCGGCTTTTCAAAGTCACTAACGATTAATCTTTTCGGCTAGTACCTTCCGCATAAAGTCGCATTTTAATATAACATCTCTTTTTTACACATGCCTGCACGATCATATGGTTCAAGATCAGCGGCATATTAATAGAAAAAGATGCAGTGTATAATCAATAATTATATTGATTGTCTCAAACCTTTTACTACATCATCAATGGTCAATTATAAATATACACTAACACATAAATAAAACGACCTTAGATAATATCGAAGTTTTATGAACTGTAAGAGTATTCTATACAGAGCAAAAAAACTAAATAAAATAGTTATATATATATATCAATTGCCCCAAAGGGGATTAATTAGAAGCTAATACTCATAACAGGATATTAAATGAGATATTCATTAAATTTTTTATAACTTGATCTAAAAGTACATCATATATAGTATTCATAATTTTACGAAAGTTAAAAATAAAATATTAGTCATAACTCTATGACTTTTGTTTTGAAGAAAGGTCACACGTACTTTCTACTTGAAAATAAAGTTTTTCTAATTATGCTAATGTTTATATTACTCATTATAAGAATGTTAAATGTATACTATGTTTTTCGCGCCTATAATCAATGATTTGGTAGGATGCATCGTTAAGTCAGGTACATATTTTCCTACATAAAAAGAATTTCAATACTATTTTTCTAAATACTACCATATATAAAGGAAAAATAATAATTTAATTTCAATAAAGAAATAAAATATTTTTCCTTTGTTCTTTTCGAATAAACATTTCTTTATCAAAACAACCTGTTTTTTTTATCATAGTTATATTTTCTTTGTTTTTTTATGTTTTGAAGAATGAAATAAAAATATTATAGATGTCTCAAATTATTAAAAGATAACTTAAATTTATATACGAAATAAATGATTATTACAAAAAGTTAATATTAATGAAAAAAAAATAATGAAAAGATAGAAATATTTTTCATTGTTATTGTTTTAAATAGTTTCATCTATAAAATATTTTTTCGTTTTATAGAAATTTACTTACTTTATGTGGAATAAATAATTGAAAATATAATTCACTGTTGGCACAAAAAAAAAGTTAAATGATGAAAGATATATATATATTATAAAATAAACAAAGTAAAAATGGAGGTGTGACCAATGGGTATCTTTAAACGATTAGAATTACACGAATTATCCTCTATATAGAGATTTTATTATTAAAATAATCATAAGAAAAATCAATTGATTCTCATATTATTGATAAATTATTTATATAAACATTAACGCCATCTATTGATTAGATTTAATTATAATTAATTTCAACAATTAATTAAAGAATCATCAAAATACTTTTACATTGTAAAATAATCTTTTCTAGTTTTTCTATCTATGTCATACATTTCCTAACAAAGAAGATTATATACATGCTTTTAGTTATTCACTTTAAATTTCGTTCCGAAAAATATTCTGTTTTAAAATAACAACAAAATCTTTATCATTTATTGGACACTAAACATTTGCAATGACTCAAATTACTGTCCTATTAGAATTAATATCAGTGCTATTATTTCAACCACAAGATAGAGAAATTTATATACTCAAATTTCATACTAGATATGGGAATAAGTGTCAATTCCGATGAATACCTTTATTCATCCACTTTATAAAATCTGGAAACATTTCAAATTCAATGAGTAAAAACCACAAATGACAGACTGAAATAAATATGAATATAATAAAGTGATATTCGATATACGAAATCCAAGTTTTCATTAATATGGTATTGTATACTAAAGAGATTTAAATATTGTAAGAGAACGATAATCATAGCTGATTTTAATTGTTCAATGTTCAATTTAAGACTTATTTTTAGAAGAAGTACGTGTCTTACATTAGCCACTTTACGATAAAATATGTACTATTTCAAATGCTAGAAAGTTCGGTTTGACTTTGAAATGTGGGCTTATTCTGACCCTACAGCCTAATAAAGTCCAGTTTCTTAATATTTTCTATTTTGTCTTCAAAAAATGTCTTCGATAAGATGCAAAGAATCAAGAGATGAAAGTTGAATATGATCAGTTTTTGGTTCACGCAGTGTTTTATCTAGTTTTTTTCGTCCGAGGGTGCGAAATTAACTGCCAGGAAGGCAAAAATCTCTCTTCTGGGAGGGGGGGGGCCAAACGTAGAGTTTTAGACTCAAAAAGCGTAATTTTTCTGAACTCCGGGGGGGGACAAGGGCACCTTCCGAGAGGGCAAAAAGCCCCGTGCTCCTCCGCTAGATAAACCATTGGGTTCACGTTCAAAGGAAATCAAAATATCTGACTCTGTTAAATAGTGAAACTAATTGGAACGCCTATCTAAAACAAAAACAGTATTGTACTTGAAACTTAATGGTGTATGTTATTTAACAAGCTATTAATCACAAAAACGAGAAATTAGGTTAAAACTAACTTTTCCTAAAAGGGACGTTTTAATTAAAAAGAAAAATTGAGTCTCGTTCACGATATGACTTGACTTCTTCGTTTCTCTATGTGTATGTATTTGAACTTAAGTGGACTTCTGTTATAGAGAGGCTTAGAGAAGACAAGAGAGCATGGCAAACAATAATTGATCAATATTGATTTTAATATTTATAAAAGGTATCACTTCAAACACTTGTGAATTTTGAATCAAGAGTATAATATTCTTTACTAAGATTACTGTAAAGGTAAAGATGAATTTATTATAAAACATTCTAAGAGAATTTAAGAACAGATAATTAAGATTAATCAAAATACTATATGTAACAAGTGAGTGGTAATAGAATAGTTTTTCTCTGAAATTCTTTCATCAGTAAAAGTGCATAGCGACATATATTTAGATGATTCTAATAAAATCTCCTTTTTTTCCACCGTTTCTTGCTTTTATTGATATGTGAATTTTATTAATAATGATATAGTGTAAGAAAACAAAAGAACATCATTTAGTAAATAATTTCATAAATCGATTAATTATTTTTTTTTGTTTTGATTTTGGTCTATTTTCAAACTCTTCTAAAAATAAAATATATACAAAAAATTCGTTTGATTAAATTTTTTTAACAAAAAAGTTGAAAAATTTACCTTCAGCTGGAGGAGCAGATGGAATAGGAAAAATTGATTGTCCTTTCTCGTATATTCGTTCAGCTAGAGGAACTTGTGAATAAATATTTGCACGATCAAGACAACGAACACCTGGATGAGGCGGAGCTGTAGGATTATGTTTTAAAATATGACAATAATGACACATTTGTAAAAAAAATACAAAAAATTGAATTATTCAACGACGTTATATAGATGTCAACTGCATTTCTTTTTACTGAATCATAGACTACATGCGTATATATTATCTCGATTGTTGACATTCAAACAACAATGCATTCTTTAACCATAATAAAAGAATGTTAAGATAACTTACTATTAGATAAAGTATGTTGGAATATTAAATATAAATATTCAATCGAATAGAATGAACTAAATATTTCCCAATGAAAAGGATAACTCACTTACTTGAATTGTTTCAAATTAACTCTTTGACTGCAGGTGGCCCCACAATGATTTTAGAACATGTAGATTTCCATCTGATTAGAGATTTCTTTTGGTTTAATTCGAGTTAGAATCAAATTATTTTATACTGATAATCATCAATTGATTCGACGGAAGTTTTTTTCTCTTTCGCTTTAGAAATAAGATAAGTTTATTTGATGTATGCTCAGATAAAGAGTTCTCGAATATATGCAGTGGCCATGTGGTTGGGTTTTTCCAACATCCTTGCAGATATATATGTGATCGTGCCCGTCTTTTGTTGTTCATTATTACATTCATTAGTGTACTAGTTCTTTAACTGATTTCGTTTTACTCCCTTTCATTAATTTATGCTCAAATATATAGAAAAAAAAAACTTCGACATTTTTGTAATATTGTTCTTATCTCAGCTATAAGAGTAACTGAGAATACGATACAAATGACACTTAAGATATACGTGTAGTGAAATAATCCGTATATGAATTGTAGAGAATTTCAAATCTTACCTATTCATTAAATAAAAGATTTCAATTGGTTAGATAATATAGGAGAAATTTATAAAAATATAATCTATTATATGTTATTTACTCTTTTGAACCGAATATAAAATCTCAAACAGTATTTTACATCAATATTATGATGTTTATGTACGGCTTTCCTATAGAGTGCGATAATAACCATTTACTTTCCTACGTTCTTTTCTGATTGCTTTTCTTTTGGTATCCACGGTAATGCAATTGAATTTGAAGAGATCAAAACTGCACACTTTTCTGTCACAATCAATAAGTGGCAAAATAACAGAATTGAAAAATTTTTCGATTCTGCATTGTTTATCGAAATCATTAACCCGAAATCGGTTATGCACACATAACAAAACAACAACGTAATGACCACTGCCGCACAGGATATTGATTATTTTATTGAACGACAAAGATCTAAAATTAATAAACAAAATAATCGACGAAAAGCACCACAAGTACAAGCACAAACACCGCCTCCGGTTGAGCCTCTTCCACTCAATCATTTGAGTGATCAATCAATCGTCCAAGATATGCAATTTTCACAAGAACAATCACCTCGTCTTCAATCTCAACAATCTAATTATCTTTCTTCATCACCTCCATTTCCTAACAGTTCACGTATGGATCAACACCAAGGCCAACAATTTTCAAATGATAATACAACTAAAAGTTACTTTTCTTTTTTTGATAGATTTGGTACTCATGATGAAGTACGTTCACGTCTAAACGATGATTTAAAACGTGAATATAATGAATATTTACAATCTTTACAAAATATGACAAAAAAACGAACATCAGAAATGATTGCTCCATCACAGATCGGTGGTATGTCACAAGGAAGTACAACTCGACGAGTACAATTTTCACGTGATCCAATAACTGGTCGAGGATCAAACGAACAACATACTAGCAGATCATTCCATAATTCTCATAGTATGAATGATGTATCGTCTAATAGAGGTTTACGTCATAGTCAAAGTATGAATAATGGCACCTCATCGGGAAGAACACTACATAATATTCATAGTATGAATGATATGTCATCAACTTCAGCAGAAGAATTAGCAGCAAGTCGAGCACGAGCTCGTCTAGTACAACAAGAAAGTGAAAAATATATTCGTGATCGTGAAGAATATATTTTAGAATTATATGAACAAATCTATGAATTAGAAGGACGAATAAGACAACTAGAAACTGGTATATTTTGTATTTTTATCTAATAATCTATGACTTATATTATACGTTTTATAGAAAGTCGTAAACTAACAATTACTAATTCAACAAATTCTACTCGTGCACGATATACTGAAGATTTAAATGCATTAAATGCATTACTTGCAGAACGATTAAATCAAAGAGTAGCAATTGATTATGAACTTGCTGAAATTCTTAATCGTCCACCTGTTCCTTTAACTTCAAGAAGTGTTATTGTAACTGGTGTACCTAGTAGTATACCTATACCAATTGCACAAGCTACTCCACGCCCTCCTGATACTTTGCAACTAGGTCAACAAACTGCTAGAAGTACTGAACAGACGATTACACAAACAAAAATGCCACCAGAACCACAACCATTTAAATCACCTCGAACAAACCCAATTCAGGTAATCATATTTTCCAATTGGTATCATTGGTAATTATGAATGATACTCATGATGACAGAAGTGGTGTTCGAATTGATAAATTCTAAATTTTGAATTGTTTGATTTATGAGTAAATATTTTTAGGGTCGTCCTTCTACGCCACAATTTGCTCGTGGTTCACTTTATAATCATATATTCGGTAATTATAAAACTGAAGAACAAGTTATGAAGCAAGAAAGATACAGACAAGATTTATTAAAGCAAATAGAAGAAAAACGTCTACGAGATGCTGAAGAGTTAGCTCGACGTCGAGCTGCTGAAGAACGTGAACGTGCTAAACAATTAGCATATCAACGAGAATTAGAAAGACAAGCGGCTGAAGAAGCATTACGAAAACAAGAAAGAGAAGAAGCAGAACGTCGAGCACAACAATTATTAGCTGAAGAAGCGGAACGAAAACGAAGAGAAGAAGAATTAGAACGACAACGAAAAGAGGAGGAAGAAGAACGACGACGAAGATTAGAAGAATTAGCACGACAACGACAAGAAGATGAAGCTGAACGTTTAAAACGTAAAGCAGAAGCAGAACGATTACGACAAATCGAAGAAGCTGAACGACAAAAACGTCGCGAAGAAGCCGAACGACTACGAAGACTAGAGGATTTGGAACGATTAAAACGAAAAGAAGACGAAGAAGAGCGACGAAAACGATTACTAGAAGAAGAACGACAACGACGAAAAGAAGAAGAGGAAGAAGAACGACGTCGAAGAGAAGAATTAGAACGACGACGAAGAGAAGAAGATGAAGAAGAACAACGACGTAGAGAAGAAGAAGAACGGCGAAGACGAGAAGAAGAAGAAGAACGACGACGAAGAGAAAGTGAAGAAGAACGACGACGAAGAGAAGAAGAAGAACGGCGAAGACGAGAAGAAGAAGAGCGACGAAGAAGTAATATTTAATAAAAATAATAATATTAATTATTTCCATATACCTAACGAATAATTATGCATATAATCGAAGGAAAGTTTGAAGTAGTAGAGAATGTATTACAATATTTACAACTAAATCTGAAATTTGGCATTTTCATATTTTATAGAGGTGTCAATTTTTAAAGATTAATAAACTGTACATCTTCTTTTTCTTTATATAATTACTAACAACAACAATTTAAAACTATTTATATTTGAATAGATACCAAAGTTGTCCGTACAAAATCGCCTGTTTCACGTGAAGTATCAGAATCTGAAGTCCTTCGACGTCTTGAACAATTAAAAAGACAATTAAAAGAAAAAGAAGATCGTCTCAGAGATGCTATTAACGAAGAACCTGCGACTACTACAACTCCTCGTCGTCGTCCTCAAGTAGATTTTTCTTCAGGTCCTTATCTACCACCACCACAACCATTTTATTTACTACGAAGAGAAAGTTCAGATGATTTACTCGAAGTTGCACGTATTCATTATCGAGATGCACCATTAACACATGATATATTACTTAATATTTTAAAAACAACTGATGGTGATGAATTCAATCCAAGTTATGTACGTGATGATTCAGTTATGATGCGTGGTATTGCTGAAGGTAAACGAATTACTAGTGCAGAATTTCTTACACTACCAAAACGTCCTGGAGTTGCTGATGATTTATTTGGTATAAATATAGAAAGTATAGCTGGACGCCGACGATATCAGAATAGTCTACCAGGTTATTATGATGGCGATTATCCACTCGATATGATGGATAAAGAATTAAATGTAAGTAAAAGAAAAACAAAAGCTATATATTTTTTTTGTATTTTTTATCTAGAGAATTACACATAAAAATGATCATCGTTTAAGTAAATTACGGCATATTGAACTAGATGATGGTGCAGGATTTGATATGGAAGATTTAATGGAACGTTTTGAAGACAAACAAAGATCAGAAGGACGAGGTGGTCGTCGAGGAACTGTATATGATACTACTTGGCTTAAATAAAAACTTATTTTTATATCTGTAATAAACCAGTTGCATGTGAAAATAAATTATAATTCTTATTTTTTTATTTCCTCTTATTAATTAGAGAAAAAAGATAATATGTGGAATATAAATTATTCGTTTAAATACTATTCTCAATATACAGGTTACTATCTTGAGATACATGTATATAGATAATAAACTGACTTGACTATGAGAGATCATGATAAAAGAAATCATTTTGAAAGTTTGATTGAATTTAAACTTCGGAATCGATTTTGTGCTCGCATTTACGTAACTTACCACATTTATTGGAAGACCAACACTGCGAGTATGGTAATTCGTAAAACGAACTGAAATTAGAATAGCTTTTCGAATAAGTCTAGAACATTGTAACCAATGAAATCGATAATGATACTGTTTTCTTAGTTACACGGAACGATTTCATTAATACTTCAAATTTCGGTTGTTGGAATCTGTAGCTTTTTTCTGTCGGATTTTGAATGATTAAACGAAATTGTAAGATTTTTGTAATTATCTATTGATTTATTAATTTTCTTGAATTCAATATTCTTGTATTAATATTTTATATCATGCATTTTAGAATATATGTAAGTTAAATAATGTGAAGAGATGAAGAAAATTAGTGATTTTATTCAGAAAAAACACGAGTATATATAGATGGAATGACCAAAGAGAAGAATGCGTCGAGAAGTTTCTTCTCTGTATTAAGCTCGTGAAGAAAGATGGACAATGGATCGAGGTACGAAAAGGTCACACAGGAACATAAGTACCTGATGTACGAAAGACAAGCAAGATATGTATGACTCAGAAAGAAAGAAAGATATAGCTATGTAACAATATATTCTATTAAATGTGAATATAATACGAATTAAAAATAATGTTTATTTAATATATCAAAACTAATCGTTAATGTTTTATTTTATAAAATCAAAAAAGAAAAAAAAATTATTTAGCTCCACTTTTACTAGATTATAATAAATCATTGATTAAAAATATATAGAAGCAAAATTTTATAAAGATTACTAAAGATTGTCTATTTTAAGTTGATGAACCATTGGTTTGCCACTAAAAAAATTGAGTAAATTATCAACACATACTTGTGCCATTTGATGACGTGCAGATTCATCAGCACTACCAATATGTGGAAATATCGTACAATTCTCAAGTGTGAGCAGTGGATGATCAAGTGGTAATGGTTCAGGAGTAGTAACATCCAACCCTATATAGATTCAGAATTTTTACGTTATTATCATTAAAATATTTCTTTACCTGCTGCTTGAATTTGACCCTTTTTTAATGCATCATATAATGCCTCTTGATCAACAATTCCACCTCGTGCAATATTAATTAAAATAGCATCATTTTTCATTTGTTCAAAAGCTTGTTTATTAAACATATTTTCTGTTTTTTCATTCAATGCACAGGCAATAATAACAAAATCAGATTGATTTAATAATTTTTCGAATTGAACAAATTTAAATAATTTTTTATCATCTTCAGAATCAAATTGTTTTTCACGTGTGCCACTATAGAGAATTTGTTGAATAGAAAATGCTTGTAAACGACGTGCAATAGCTAAACCAATTTGACCTAAGCCAACAATACCAATAGTTGAATTCGCTAAAGGTTTACCACACATCCACATTATATCTGATGATTTACCCCATTCACCATTCTATTTAAATTATAGATCAAATAACATTTTTTATTTCTATTAACTTACTCGGGCTTTTTTCATAGCTTCACTAATTCTTCTTGATGTTGCTAATAATAATGCAACACCTAAATCAGCTACTCCATTTGTTAATACACCTAAAGATTTCAATATATATATATCAATTACAATGTATTGATTATTTTAGTTTACCGGGTGTATATCCAATTGATATACCACGTTTTTGACATTCTTTTAGATCAATATGATTATATCCAACTGAAAATGTTGCTAACATTTTAAGTTTGTCACCAGCTGTTGACAAAACTTCTTTGTCGATTTTTATTCCTCCTGGGAAAAGCATTGCATCAGGTGGATTAGCACGTATACGAGATAGAATTTGTTCACGGGTTACAGGTACTGACGTATCTTTATAATCAAGATCAAATACACGTTCGAGTGGACGAATAAACTGTGAAGGCATTTGATGAAGTATTAAAAGACGTGGTCGAATAGCGGATGTCATTATCTGAATAAAAACAATCATTTCTATTTCAAGTATATTTCTACACATAAAACTGTGTCTTCGTGTTTATAAAAGAAAGAAAAAAGTGTAATACACAAAACAAAAAAATTCAAGACACAAGGAGTCAATATTAAACATTTGTATTTAATTTAAATCGTTCAGCACGTTTATTTTTTTGTTCCTAAAATTCAACAAAAACCTTTAATTGAATAATAGATAATGATTAATTCATACATTCATTGTATTTAATTTTGCTACTTTAGATACATCACCAAAACGTTGAGTTCTTTTTTGAACTGCATCAGATAAAAGAGGAGTTGTTGTTGTTGATGATGATGTCGTCGAACCAAAACGATCAAGACGTTTCTTTTTAACATCTTCATCTTCTGTTGTTCCAGAATTATTCACATGAAAACGTTCAGCTCGTTGACGTTTCTTTTGTTGTACTTCCTCCTATATAAAACAATAATGTATATATCAATTCAAATCTTTTCTTTCTTACTGGTGAATGAGGAAGAACTCCGAATCTTTCCAAACGTCGTTTTTTAGCTGTGCCACTAATTGCTTCCTATTGAATTAAATAAGAAGACTAAAGAATAATATTCTTATTTAACATACATGTGTTGTACCAAAACGTAAAGCACGAGAGATTTTTTTTGCTTCAGGTGCTACTTTTCCGAAACGTTCAAGACGTTGTTTAATTTTCTATAAAAAAATTAAGACAAAAGATGGATTTATTTTTCTTCTATTCAATGTAAAAACTTACATCAGTTGCTGATGTTTCTTCATTTTGATTATCTGCACTTATAACACCAGTATTTAATTCAAATTCACTTAAAAAACAAAATATAAGATAGAGAAAAAACTAGATTCTTATTTACGTTAATGTTTCAGCAAGAGCTTGTGTATTTTCATTCGATATCTTTGTATCTGTAGTCATCTTCGGAATAAATATTGTTAAATGAATTTTTTTATTATAGATTGTGTTTGATGCTTTTTTGTTTGTACCAATGAAATGATATTTATTAATAGAAATGATTTGTTTCTATTTGACCAATTGAAATTTTGTTCAGTATTTTGCGAGGAATGAGTTTAAAAAAACTATAAATTGAAACATCTTCATTAAATATGTGGAAGCATTTCAAATTCGATCCAACTTCAGCTAACTTTTCATATCGTACTGATGAAAAGTTCAATGAAGTAAGTAATTGTCTTTCTTTTTAGAGGAATAGAATGATTAAAACTTTTTTCCTAGTTTGATACTTTATTACGATGTGAATGGGATCGTGCTGTAACGCAAGGTCTTTTTACATTTCAAATTGATCATCATGCTAAATATCGAATACTTGATAAGGGTAATCTAAATTATGTCATTCAAGTAAATGATTTATTTTTTAAGATGAGTTATATAAATGAATTCTTTTGATATAGTTGAATCCCAGTCGTTATGAAAAACGTCGAACTCCGTATCCATTCGAAAATGTGAATACACCATTTGATAAGAATAAATTTAATTTTAATAAAATCAAAAATGATGAAGTAAGAATTTGAAAAATCGATTTTGATTTATTAAATGTTATCAATTTATAGATTCTTTTCTCTTTAGATAATGAACAAGATAAAGATAAATATTTAATAATAATTAATAATTCACCTATTCGTCCGTATCATGTTTTACTCGTACCTAATCGTGAACTTGAACAACCACAAGTAATTAAAACAAAATGAGAAAAAAAACTCGATTTGATTTTACTAGATTCTTACTATTGATTGCATTTTATTTGGACTTCAATTTGTTGTATCAAGTGCTCATCCATATATTTTAGTTGGTTTTAATTCACTCTGTGGTTATGCATCAATGAATCATGTAAGATATTTCATTGAGAAATAGACTCACTGTCTCTTCGCCAATAGGACATTCGTTATTTGACGAAATTTTAGGCATCACTTCGCGTAAGTACAGTAGATTAGAATAAAATACATATAGAAAATTAACCTAATATTATTAGAATAAGCATGCTATAGTTTAAACTGCTCAATCTAGTTACTAGAAGCTTTTTGTTACACATGTGTAATCACATAATGATACTGGTGAATTTCGAGAATCACGAAAATATTTTATAGTTCTATAAAAATAGAATCCTGCATCGGGTCGATTTTCGAAACCCGACAGATTCACCAACAAGTGCATGAGCTTCGGTTGTTATCATCTATACCTGTTTCGATGTGTGTGTTAGTCACACACACTGAACCAACAGTGTGGGCACGCAAAATAAACTATCACGTCTAAAGATGAGAGTTATCGGGTTTTAAAATCCGATCCGATGCAGGATTCTATATAAAAATGACCAATAATTCAGAAATTACTTGCGTATGAGTTAATCGATTGATCATCTTATACCACTGAACTAACGATTATTACGAAACCGTCTGGAACTCCCTGTGTGATGTATTGAGGCTAACAAAGCCGATTGCTAGTTTCATATAGACAAAATCATTATCTAAACACCTGATCGCACAAGTCTCATAATAGTTGAATCATTTTATCAAGTCAATTAACTACTTTTAAGAAAGTAGGTTTTTGTCTGTTATAAACTTGAATAAAGAGTGAAATTTTAAGTAGTTACTGTATTTGTAGAGTACAGTGCCTATATTATATATTAACATAAGTGAGAAGTTTAACAGCAATCATTTTAGAATACCACTGTATCTATAAATAGTATAAATCATCATGTTAAATTCTTTTAGTTGCATCTTCATGGTTTGTACCTTCCTGAACGATTATACCTGCAAACAATAGTAAATATTTATAATTTATTTGTAATGTATATTGTTTATGTTTGATTTCTAGACATGTAATCTATTTCATGAGAAATCGAATTGTTATATTTTAAATTTATATGATACACAAGCATTTGTATTTGAAATTCAAAATCTCAATGAATTTGAGAAAATTGCTCGGTACAAAAACATTTAATGAGATTAACAAGAAAAAGCCTATGCTGATATATATTTTAGATATGTCTGTAAAATAACAGATTATTTAAGTTTGAAAAATATTGCGCATAATATGGCAATTGTAAAAGGTGAATCATTTTCATCATCAACAGATGCTCTACGTATTTTTATTTGGTTTCGTCAATCGGTTGTTAGTAAGTATTTAAATTAATTATTAAGTATTTTAAATTTATAAATTTAGATGGAACAATGTTTGAACGATGTAATTTTGCATGTATAGAATTATCAGGATTTATGCCACTTCAATGTAAGTACAATCAATTATTATAATAATAGAAAATATTTGTTGATTTTTAGACGAAGAAATTTTCAATGACCTAACAGAATCGGGATTACGTGAAGATTTAAATAAAATTGTATTGCCAACAGACGAACAACAGCGAATTAAAGAAGATGTAAAACATTTATTAGATAATTCATTTTTATAATATATCAAAAGAGAATCTACGGTTCAGTTTCTCATTCCATACTTTTAATAAAATAAATAAATTATTCATTATTGTATATCAGAGATCAGCGGGACGAGACAAAGCTTTATACAGAATAGTCCCGCGATCAATATTATTGAATGTTTGTTTTTCTATGAATTGAACTTTTTTCAAATTATGTAATACATTTATTTAAAAATAAATAGTGTGATACTGCGTACATATTTATCATTTAAAAAATAAAATGATAAAAATCTTTGATAAGAGACGACGGGACGGGATGCAACCTTTTTTTGGAGTAACGGGACGAAAGGTAAGAGCGTGGGAGGTAGGATGAGACAGAAAATCTTTGTCCCTCCGATTTCCGATATATATTGGATTCTTAATGGAGCTTTCAAAACTACACACCTTGAGAGTCAACAATATCATATAAAAAATACATTTATATATCATCTTGAAACGAGATCATTATAAATAATATCTATTTATTACATAGGGTAATAATCATAAATAACTCTAAAAATTTGTTGATAGTAAAATTCTTGACACAAATTTCAATTAATATTGTTGATCGTGTTATCTTATGATTAAAACTTTTCCTCGGTATCATTTTTATTATTTTGTTGAAATGAAATACAATATTCGTTTTCTTTTCTTCGCTTCTTTCGTTAAATGTTATAACAAAATACACCTACATCGGGGAAAGAGAAATCTTGTCGAACGACAAAACAAATTACAATATTGTCCACTTCATACGATTATAATCTCTTGTTATAAAACAAAAACGAAACTAATCGTA